GAATACTTCAATGTAAATAGAGAATGATGTAAAATTAAGTTATATTAATTTTTAAGCTAAAATTGCCTGTACTTATGTATGTAACCTTTTGACTTGTTCTGTATCCAAAGGTACTAACCTGCTTAGGATTTATAGAATGTAAATAAATTCAATTCAATTCAACTGAATAGATCAACTTTGTATTTGCAGTTCTCGTTATTTCCACTGGAACCTGGTGCTGTATGTGATGCTTTTTATGGTAATTGTGCTCATTCCATTCTACATAGGGTACTTCATAGTAAGCAACATAAGGATTGGTAAGTCTGATCACATAGAGTATCAGTTATGTTCCAGAAAAATAAGTTTAATGCAAAAATACTATCCATCTGATAGTATCCACTAATGCAAAATCTTGCAAAATAGTTTATACATTGGCACATGTTAATTGACTATAGATGGGGTTCAGATTGTTAACTGGATTTACTGCACCCTCATACAACTTGTGACTACACTTTACAAATCACTGTCACACACAAACTAGTGTTCCTATTTATTTATTTACTTCATATCCATGTTTCATTATACATGATATAGGACGAGTCAAATACTTTATAATATATATGGATATATATGGACAAATACCGTCTTAAGTGCAACAATTTTATTGTAGTTTTTACTTCTTTTTCCTCCTCCACACTACATGTTTCGGCCCTAAATGGCCATCATCAGGTGTGTATCACTCACGTAACTGTTACACTGCTTGTTAAAAATGTAAAAATCCCAGTCTTTCTAATTGTATAAAATCTTTGTTAATCTACACNAATAATAATAATAATAATATACTAAGATAATACAATGATGATTCTAATACTAGAACTAATATAATCGTTTAACTCACAAGACCACTGTATGCTTCAAGACCTGATCCTTCTATCCTGGCACAAAATACCCTGGTATCCTCGATCTTGTTCCTGTAAGAAAAAAAAATACAGAGTAGGGCAGTAAGCATTTTTATAACATTACTAGTATTAAAATCTACAAGTTAATTATTCTTGAAATATATGTTTACAAGTGATTAGAACTAGGATTTGCCCCCAAACAAGAGAAACTCATCTGTACTATAGAAACAGTGATCAAGTAGGAATGTTTTCAAAGCCTTTTTAAACTTGTATAGTACTGGTATCTCTTTAATATACTGTGGCAACTGATGTAACATATGAAGTCCAATATTATTGAAATTCTTTTTGTATAGACTCATATTACATGGCACTATGAACAGGTCATCTTTTCTCCTTGTATTGTGCAAGTGTATGCCTGAATTGGTTATGAAAACATTCAAATTGGTTTTTATGTAAACTAGAATTTCTTGTAGTATATACAGACATGGTAAAGGTAATATATGTAACGATTTAAAAACACTAGCAGCTAAGAAGGGAACACACATCACAAGACGCGGTTTACACAGAAAATAAGAAAAACGACCCCGTAGTGAACGAACCACATGCAAGTTTTAATTAAGACAAATAAGATGAATTATCTTAACAAGTTTTAGCGAGTGTAAATTTATCATAGTTGACAAATACGGACTTTTTAAATACTTTTTAAATGGTGTTGTGAAAACATATGAGGGCAAGCAATGCAATAGATTGACGTAATTGGGACACC